ATGAACCATGAATAATAATAATCGTGAACATACTCATGGTGAAGCCAACGATGCTTTAATGTGATCCCGAAACTTGGCGTTGGATCACACAAAAAAATGTCCTTTGTTCCAGGACGTAAATTGCTTCCCTATTTTGAACTATGATCACTGCTCTGGTGCCCTAGGCGAATAATGTGTATGGAACGTTTATATAACTTGATTGTAACGGTCATTAAACGTCGATAGAAGGTGATTAGAAGGTGTACATAAGCTGAGCAGTTTATTTCAGCTGGGGAGAGCTGGGTTTAATGTGAGTGCTCCAAGAATGCAGTTAATGCGAGTGCTCCAAGAATTCAGTTAATGCGAGTGCTCCAAGAATGCAGTTAATGCGAGTGCTACAAGAATTCAGTTAATGCAAGTGCTCCAAGAATGCAGTTAATGTGAGTGCTCCAAGAATGCAGTTATTGCTCGCATTTCAATGCTGAGATTGCGTCGTGCATGTTATGCTGCCCCAGGTTGGCTATGCAGGCAAGTTCGATGCAATAAATCTATCTTCTGTGATGCAAAGCAAGGAGACCGGGAGTGGAGGGAGGCTATAGAGGGTCTATGGAGTGCTGTGCTCCGTGGAGATTTGCTACTGGAGAATTTTATGGACTGCGGCAACAGAGAAATCTTTTAGTCTCTGTTCAATCATTCATGCATCACTCAGAAAAATAAATGAGTTATATTGTCCAATTAGCAGCACAATTTTTTGTCCGCAGCATGTGCAGAGAGCGGACTTCGCACCTAGTAATACGCTCGTCTTTTGGACTTATTGAGTCAGGGTAACCTACATAGTACAGTGACGCAAAAATGTCATCGCTTTTTGAAAGGGTATTCACAAACATTCTAAGGGTATGTCCTAAACTATCATAGTAGGGTAAGTCTTGTAGCTGGTTCTTTGGTCATTGTGGACACTTGAGATCGCTGGTTCTTTGGTCATTGTGGACACTTGAGATCGCTGGTTCATTGGTCACCGTGAACACTTGAGATCGCTGGTTCTTTGGTTATTATGGACACTTGAGATTGCTGGTTCTTTGGTTATTATGGACACTTGAGATTGCTGGTTCTTTGGTTATTGTGGACACTTAATATCGCTTGTTCTTTAGTCATTTCGGACACTTGAGCTTGAGATCGCTGGTTCTTTGGTTATTTCGGACACTTGAGATCGCTGGTTCTTTGGCCATTGTGGACACTTGAGATCGCTGTTTTTTTTAGTAATTTCGGACACTTGATATCGCTGGTTCTTTGGCCATAGCGAACAATTAAGATCGCTGGTTCTTTCCCAGCAGGCATCTGACGTTGAAACAACGTTGATTATTGGTAGATTTTAGGTTGAAATGTTGAACAACCAAAATTAAACGTCATATCAACGTCGAAATCTGACCAACACTAGAAGGGACGTAAAACAACCTTATTCCAACGTTGAAATAACGTCGATATTGGTATGTTGAATTTTTACTAATTTTTAAACTCAAGTTCGATGCAATAAATCTATCTTCTGTGATGCAAAGCAAGGAGACCGAGAGTGGAGGGAGGCAGGAGAGGGTCTATGGAGTGCGGTGCTCCATGGTGATTTGCTACTGGAAAATTTTATGGACTGTGGCAACAGAGAAATCTCTTAGTCTCTGTTCAATCATTCATGCATCACTCAGAAAAATGAATGAGATATATTGTCCAATTGGCAGCATAATTTCTTATCCGCAGCACGTGCAGAGAGCGGACGTTGCACTATAAATAGGCTATCCTTTCTGCTGGCCATCCTGGGTCAGGGTTACCTAGTCGTACAGGGACGCAAAAATATCATCGCTTTTGAAAGAAGTCCCACTCGTATCTTTGAGTATGACTTCAGAGATTCAATTGAATGTAAGAGGCGCAATTCTAAGGATATGTCATGAACGGATTTCTCGATGGTACGGGAAGAGTCCATAACAAACATTCTAAGGGTAGGTACTAAAAGTGTCAATGAAGGGAAAGTGTTGTAGGGAAATATCAAGACTAAGTCTTGAACGGACAATTGTGACGCTTTGAAAATACTTTTGGTGCGGACGGCAATCAATTCAATATTACCAGTTGCTTGATGGCGGTGTGGGTTGAGTTATTAGTGGACAATCGATGGAATACTGAGTAACATGGAATAAATTGATTAAATTTATTTCTATTAAATTCTAGCCAAATTAATCACCTTAGCTGGCATGCTCATTCCCTGAAATACTTCCACGTGTCTATGCGACCGCAAATAACAGGTATTCTTACATCGTTTACCGAAACTCAAAATCAATTTTAGAATCAGCAATTAGGTTTGTAAGCAAGCATGAAAACATATTTTTTTTAATTATCACCGATGAGCTGGGCTTGAGATGGTTTTTTGGTCATTGTGGACACATGAGATCGCTGGTTCTTTGGTCACTGTGGACACTTGAGATCGCTGGTTCTTTAATCCTTGTGGACACTTGAGATAGCTTGTTCTTTAGTCATTGTGGACACTTGAGATCGCTGGTTCTTTGGTCATTGTGGACACTTGAGATCACTGGTTCTTTGGTCATCGTAGACACTTGAGATCTCTGGTTCTCTGGTTCTGGATCGCATTCTCGAGGGCCGCGGCTCCGCATTTCTCTTATCAATGCCGCAGCTCACAAAGCGGCAGGCCGAGCAGAAGCGACCGAGTCTGCCGAGGAAAGAAGAGCTGCTGGACCAAGCTATACTTTGATCAAACAAGCCTTCGTGATACCCAAGTCCTGCATTTAAAATGAATCGCTTCCTCGTATTTTATCGCCATCATGCACCAACAACTCCTGATAAATGTGTTGGCCCGTAGCTTAGATAAGGTCTACTAGTCGACGGTCCGTTGGTCAAAGGACGCTTTCAAGTCCCAGGTCCGGCTGTGAGGTAGCGTATTTCTGTCGCATTTAGTCTTGTGTTGCCTTGATTTATTCTCAGTCTCGAAAATTAATGAATTTAGTTCAAACTGAGCTTAAATCTTCCAGGAAAATCCAGACTATAGGTAAGGATTCAGCTTGTATTAATGACATTTTGCTTTTCAATATTTTGTAAATAGAAATTTTGCTAAGTTGTGGGACCTCGCATGTAAATAAAATGACAATATTCCAGGTTTTAATATCAATGTTTAATCAATTTTTACGTAAAAAATTTAGGCACTTAAAGAAATAGGCTTTAACCCTATTTTTTTCCTGTAAAAAGAATCTAGCACATTGCCCCACGCAGCTTATTCTACTAAGTTGAGAAACTATTGTTTTGTTGCGATTGAAACGTCTCGACAACTGAATCATTTATAAATTGAATTTAATTAAAGTCATGAGCTAGCTCGTAGTAACTAGTTGGACAACATGCCCCGTCCATTTCTGAGTGTACAAGGACGTGAGCAGTAGGATCGATAGGAATACATTGTGAATAAATGCGATAATTATTTATTCTCTTTTGTATCATATTTATATAGCAAAACTTTTCATTATTTTTACCTGATATTGTATTTTCTGCGAGGATTATCGAAAATCCTCCCTCTGGCGACGCAGGATTGCAGGATCTGTGCTACGCTTATCCTCCTTTTTATCCTGCATTAGACAGGACGAGGACGGCCATTCATTAGCATCGGATTAAGGAATAATTCACCATGAATTAGGATGATTCATGAGGCTTGGGGGCTCTTAAACAGCAGCTTAATGGCATGGCAAGCAGAGTAATTACAGCACTAGGGAGCGTCGCCCCCTCTGGTCAATTGACTCTCAATGAATATTCAACAACAGTCGAGAACCCGCAAAAAATAGCTGCAACTGCTATTTTTTGCAACAACCCCACTGCTGTCTCGCTGGCACTCTAAGTTCCCTGGCACTCAGTGACAGCCCTGCTGTCTCGCTGGCACTCTAACTTCCCTGGCACTCAGTGTCAGCAATTCGATTCGTAAAGACCATACCTATCGACTCTAAGATCATTTTTTGGAATTTGTGTATGGTTCGTCTTATATATTGGGGAGAAGGGGGGGGGAGGGGAAAATGAGAAAAATGGGAAAAATGCGCATAAAAAAACTATGGGGAAAATGAGAAAAGTGATCTTAGAGTCGATAGGTTTGGTCTATACAAATCGAATGATACGTGTCTCGATGTTGTAGGATGATATTTGTAGGAGGAGAAAGATTTTCTAAAGTACCCGTTTTTAGCCGTTTTCTATGAATTTCACGTTTTCTATCATTTTTTTCAAAAAATTTATATAAGCAAAATGTTATTTTTTTTACATTTTACGTGTGTATGTGAAGTTTCACGATGATCGGAAAATAACTGTAGAAGTTTTTACGGAGGGTAGACGGTCCCCTTAAATTTATCGAAACACGTTACGTTTTACTATTGATGCTGTGAACTAATGGTGTGCATTTAGTTGTTGTTGAGGAGTCATTATAGTGAAGTTTTCCATCTGAAATTTGATCCTCAATTTCGTTGTGGAGTTCTTCTTACATAAACTTTATTGTAAAATAAGCTTCTAACATCACGTTAAAATAAACTTCCTTTATGATTTAGGCTTAAGGAATAGATGTGCTGCGTTGAAATTATTTTCGTACATTGTTGAAGTTTATGCCCATATTCGTACTGAGCTGAAAATCATGATCTTATTTGAAACACATTGAAATTTTTATAATGCGCACCCTGAATAATGCACACCCTACCTTATGTGTATATGCCTGAAGTTCACAGTGTTGAACAAATGAATTTTTAAAGCAAAGGTAGAGCAAATTTCAGTCACCACTCGCCAGCCCCTGCGATTGCGTCGTAGTTGAACAAACAAGCAACAGAAATATCGCTGCAAATTTGATCCTTGCCAAATTTGATTGCAGGATTTAGAATGTAGATCGCGTGGCCATCGTATCCTTTACAAGGCTTGATTCAAAGGCAGGAAACTTCCTATTGAGAACAGGAAGAACCTCTCACCCGTTCTTGAGACGCACGAGTGACTTCCTTCGATAGCATGTGTACCTGGTAAACAGATCCTCCTGTTGCCAGGTCCTCCTGTTGCCACCTCCTGTTGCCAGGTCCTCTTGTTGCCAGATCCTCTTGTTGCCAGATCCTCCTGTTGCCAGATCCTCCTGTTGCCAGATCCTCCTGTTGCCAGATCCTCCTGTTGTCAGATCCTCCTGTTGCCAGATTCTCCTGTTGCCAGATCCTCCTGTTGCCAGATCCTCCTGTTGCCAGATCCTCCTGTTGCCAGATCCTCCTGTTGCCAGATCCTCCTGTTGCCAGATCCTCCTGTTGCCAGATCCTCTTGTTGCCAGATCCTCCTGTTGCCAGATCCTCTTGTTGTCAGATCCTCTTGTTGTCAGATCCTCTTGTTGCCAGATCCTCTTGTTGCCAGATCCTCCTGTTGCCAGATCCTCCTGTTGCCAGATCCTCCTGTTACCAGATCCTCCTGTTGCCGATTGATTTGAGCGAAGGATTGATTGTCCACAGGTTAGGAGCCAGGCTTGGAAATCCTTTTATCGAGTACAGGATTAGGCCACTTGGACAAGAAATTTTTAAATATACACGCGGTACTAAGTTACAACTGTAACTGCAGGTGCAGTTACAGTTACAGTGAAGTACATTATTTTATAGTATAGTATTTATAGTACAGTGCAGCAAAGAATATTGATGAATAAATAGTTTTAATAGACCAAATTGTTGAAAATAATTTTGATTACTAGAGCTTTGTATTAGAGACAAATTCTCCGTCCGCAATATATGCCAATTGGTCGCAAACATCTATTTTTATTAACAATATTTTGTTAAATAAAGTGATTTTTTATTGAATTACACCTATATTTATAATACACCAGCGAAATGACGAATCGTGGCTTCATAAAAATCTCTTTATTAACCAAAATGCTATTCTATAGAAGCGATAAAAAAATCGTATTTTCCTTGAATATGGGAAGGCCTTGAATATGGGAATTCACTAGATGAATGTGCCGGTATACACGGGATTGTCCTTGCAATTGAATGCCCCATCCATTCACTACACACATGTCTCTGTATACACGAGGTTATCTGTGCAATTCAATGCCCCATCCATTCACTACACACATGTCTCTGTACACACGAGATTATCCGTGTAATTCAATGCCCCGCCCATTCACTACATACATGTCTCTGTATACACGAGATTACCAGCCTTGCAGGTCAATTGCCGTAATCTCTGTCTCGGCTATACGATCTCTGTGCTCGCTCTGCTGCGTTGTAGCAATCTTGCCCGAACGATCGCAAAAGTTCAGTCGTTATCGGAGCGCAAAAATCGTTGCCAATTAGAGAGTGGCTTTCATTTATGAGCCACATTACCTTCTGATTTGCCTATTGCTGCGAACTTGCAAGGTTTTGAAATTTTGGCCATGTAAAAATGACAGCGTCATCAGGCAGAGGTGTCTTATGATATAAATATTTCTTCCTATTATGGTTCTGATTTTTTATTTAATGCAATTTGATTTTATTGGTTAGCTGAAAATTCAATATTGTTTTATTTTAACAACAAGAACTGTACCGATCATTCAATTTTAGCTGACGTTCATCAATTAATTTCTATGCGTTAATAAATGTTTATATTTAATTATTAGAAACAACGAAATAAAATTATCAAACAATATTAAAATTTAAAAAATAAAAAAAAAACAATACTTGAGACTGAAATTGCTTCTCATTCCAGTTTAAATTCTTCCATATTCGTGCCATAATCATTGCCATTGGTGGTTCATAAATGGCATTTACGATCGACCATCATCTTTATGTTCTTTGATAACTTCGTTGCAGCGCCTGCTTGTAGTTCAACTGCCGCAGTTCAGTTTGCTCTAAACATTGCAAATATCGATATGCAATTGCGTGTAATTTTTTGTAGATTTTTGACCGCGGGAAAGGTTTTTGTTTTTAGGTAAAAGCGGAAGTAGCAGCAGTACGATGTCGGTAACACTTCGAAAACCGAGTTTCATTGGGAATTTTCACTGATATTTTGGCTTTCTTTGATTTTTCTCGGTGTTTTCATGAAAAAAACAACTAAAAACTTAATTTTACCAAAACTATCGGTCAACAAATTTAACTTGAAACGAAAGGAGCAAAAGCTAAAAATGCTGGTGCTTAAGCCTGTAAATGTCGATTTTCTAAAAACCGAAGTTTGGAAACGGCCATTAGATTTGGTAACTTTGCAATCAAGGAAAGACAAGCTATTGTCTGATTCCAGCTCCATGGTGAATTTGATAGACATATGTTGGAGATTATTTGGATGATTTTCGTCTGAAAATGTATCGCTTACATCGGTTGTATATATGTAGCTTTTGCATCGTCAGAAAATGCAGCGCTTGCTTCGTTTAAAAATGTTGGGTTTTCATCGTCTGAAAATGTAACGTTTGCAACATCTGTAAATTTAGCATTTGTATAGTCTGAAAATGTAGCCTTCGCATCGTTTAAAAGTATAGCGTGTGCAACGTCTGAAAATGGGGCATGCGCATCGTTTGAAAATATCGAGTTAGCGTTATTAAAAATTGTGAAGCAGGGCCAATAAATAAAAATTTCTAATCGATTATCCTGCGAATTTACATCGCATCACCAGCCCGCGCCACACCGAGACTTTGAAGGAGAATTAATTTAAAAAATCTAATAATTTTTTCGGGATAATATCATTTCGCCTTCTGCATGTCCTGAGCCTTTCAAAAGTCCCGCCTGGACAAAGAACAGCTTTATAAAAACCTTGAAATTGTCGCTCTACCGATTTTAAATTTTTTGGTTATTATTTATTTATTTTTTTTTATTCCCAGAAGCCATCTCTGGAAAAAAACTGTTACAAATAGTCGAGAAAAAAATGGAAACGTTCACAATTATTCATTATTCACGTTTAGAATTTCTCTGAATGTGTTAGAAATATAATTATAATATAACTATGCCAACGACAAAATAACAAATAATAAATATTATTTTTCGAATATTGTAATTTATTGCCTGGTGCTTAGCTCATTGTTCCAAATCAAAATCTAATTAAAAATTCTCTTTTTTAAGGCGAAGTTAACTGGCTTGGTCGCTTCATTGTTCGCGATCGCTGAAGACCAACAATACAGCGCACAAAACTCCCACCAAATTCAGCGAAGATTTCTAACCGTCGAAGCGAAAGTTTTTTGCTCGCTTCTTACTTTGTTCGCCTCGCCTCAGAAAAGTTTTATCGATATTTTCTTGACGTGGAGAAGTTGGCGGCCGTTTTCGGTGAAACTGCGGCCGAAAATTCTTACAATTTTTCTGGAATTGAAAACCTATCGGGCCTCAGGTCAGGTCACGTGGTATTGACGCTAATTATTATTATGTAGACCGAGGGCAAAGAGACTAAAATTTATTAGTCTCTTTATATTTAAACTTTATTATTTATTATTATTTATTATTTATTTATATTTATTAATATTATTATTAGTCTTTATTTATATTTATTTTCATTTTATTTGTTATGCAACGAAAGCGAATGCTTCACAGTGGATAAAAAATTGCTAAAAGCAAAACCAAGAGCCATTTTTCACAGGCATTGTATTGCTGATGTTTAAAACAGAAATTTACATTCTTTTTGCTCTATGCAACTATTTTATATCAAATTTATTTTTCAAGTGTATGATGGCGCATTTTGACGTCAGAAGCATTGAAGCTCGCTGAGCTTCCTGCCTCATCTTTATTATTGAAATCTGTAAGGTTAAGACGACGACAAGCGAAATTTTTTTATTCTTTACGTACTATTTGTCCTCACAGTATATCAAAATAATCCTATTTCCGATATATTTGATGCAAAATCCTCATGTAATTCACATCTTTAGCATTGATCGACGCAACGAAATTAAATTTAGAATTAAGGTCGTGAGCTACGGAGCAGAGTTGGCCCTGGAATGACTCCAAGAATGCAGTTAATGTGAGTGCTCCAAGAATGCAGTTAATGTGAGTGCTCCAAGAATGCAGTTAATGTGAGTGCTCCACGAATGTAGTTAATTTGAGTGCTCCAAGAATGCAGTTAATGTAAGTACTCCAAGAATGCAGTTAATGTGAGTGCTCCAAGAATGTAGTTAATGTGAGTGCTCCAATATGTAATTAATGTGAGTGCTCCAAGAATGTAATTAATGTGAGTGCTCCAAGAATGTAGTTAATGTGAGTGCTCCAAGAATGCAGTTAATGTGAGTGCTCCAAGAATGTAGTTAATGAGAGGGCTCCAAGAATGCAGTTAATGTGAGTGCTCCAAGAATGTAGTTAATGTGAGTGCTCCAAGAATGTAGTTAATGTGAGTGCTCCAAGAATGCAGTCTATGCAGGCAAGTTCGATGCAATAAATCTATCTTCTGTGATGCAAAGCAAGGAGACCGGGAGTTGAGGGAGGCAGGAGAGGGTCTATGGAGTGCTGTGCTCCCTGGAGATTTGCTACTGAAGAATTTCATAGACTGCGGCAACAGAGAAATCTCTTAGTCTCTGTTCAATCATTCATGTATCACTCTGAAAAATAAATGGGCTATATTGTCCCAATTCGCTGCACAATTCTTTATCCGCAGCACGTGCAGAGGGCGGACGTAGCCCTATAAATTAATACACTTTTCTGCTGGTCATACTGGGTGACCTACACGTACAGTGACACAAAAATGTCATCGCTTTAGAAAGAAGTCTCATTCGTATCTTTGAGTGTGATTTCAGAGATTCAATTGAATGTAAGAGGCACAATTCTAAGGTATATATTTCATGAACGGACTTCTCGATAGTATGGGAGGACTCCAGAACAAATATTCTGAGGGTAGGTCCTAAACTATCATAGTAGGGTAAGTTTTGTAGGGAAATATCGAAACTAAGTCTTGAACGGAAATTTTGAAGTCTTGAAAAGACTTGGTGTGGTCGGTAATTAATTCAATATTACCAGGTGCTTGATACCGGTGTGGGTTAAGTTATTAGTGGACAATCGATGGAAGGATGAGAGATACGGAATAAATTGATTAACAGGTTGACTCCGAATTGGTACATATGCGTACCACGAGGTCTATTTCTCCTGGACGTAGTGGTACATAATTCAGGGTTGTCACATGGCCAAAAAAAGGCCAAGTCTGCGAACAAAAATGCCAAAAAGGCCTATAACTAAATATATACTGGTATATATGTAGGTTCCGGTGTAAAAATATCCCTTTCTTTTTTTATTTAATTAGAAAGTACTACTATCATAAATTTTAGCCGGCCAACGCAATTAAAAAAAAACGAAATCGCGGAATTTGTCTGCAAAATAGACCGTCTGGCAAACTTGTTTCATAATAGTACAAAAAATGAAATAATAATACAAGATGAAGCAATCGGAGTAAACGTGTTATTTTTATTAACATTTTATCCAAATAATCACCTTAGCTGGCATGCTCACGCGCTGAAATGCTCCCACGTGTCTGGGCGAACCCAA